TATTTGGTAATGTGGACATCATAATAATTGGAATGTAACATTTTGTATTTTAGATAGGTTTTATTGGTACATTTCGAACTCCTAAGTTATACATGCGCCTACTTTATGAATTGTACAGGACGTCATTTTATTGAACTGAGTGAAAAGTTAATGATTTTTAGACTATTCATATTTGTTGGAACTTCCTAAAAATAACTTAATTGGCTCTTACAAAAAGTCGTGTGCATTGACAGGAGGTTTCTTGAAAGCAAAAGTTGTATCTAGAGTCTCGGGAGACTTTGGTTTGGGGCCTAGAGCACTGGGGACTCGGGCTACCTATCAAGATGCGGCAGCTTGAGAATACGTCATCAGTGCAGCTTCTTTTGAAGAATGGACTAGATGTGATCATTTTTTCTAACACTGAATTTCAGAGAAAAGTCTGGCTATCAAGTATAGTTGGAAATGAACTGAATACTTTGCCTGTGTGCATCAAGTGATGGCCTCTCTAATCCCAAGAAGGATTTATAGGATAAGCACTGCACTAACTGCAAGGTCAGAAGTTCAAATCCACCAACCATTCCTTGGAAACCATATACAGGGTCACTGAGTCATAATTGACTCGATGACACTTAATAACAACAACATCATGGACATCAGCCACACAGTGCCCAGCTCCAGCATGCAGATCTATGGCGTAACGCTTCTCTGACTCATGGGGACACCATACTGCCTGCATCTCTGGTTGTAAACTCTCTAAGGTTGTCCACCCTTAGCCTGTCTTTCCACTTCAAAGGGCATTATAAGCACATGACATCAACGCAAAAGTGAATGACATTTTGTTTTACCTACGTAGCTGGAAAAACTTTTTTTTAGAAAACCTTGAAAGGGTTTGAAAGAATTTAACCAATGTGGAAACAACAATGCAAGAGTTTCCAGTCACTGTAAGTCTTAGAACTATGCATGATTTTTCCACCAGCTACGTCCTCCTCCTCCTCACAGAGGTCATTTTACTGCTACTACCTATGCATCAGGAGGGTTCTCAATCCTTTATGTGTTATCAATACAGAAAATCCTCATAACAACCAAATGAGTACACCAGACATCCCATTTTACAGGCACAGGAAAATGAGGCATCTAGAGATGAAACTGCCAAAAGAACCAATAGATCTGTTTTGGAAGAGGTGCAGCCAGAGTGCTCCTTGGAGGCCAGGATGGCTAAGCTTCGTCTCTCCTACTTTGGACATGTAGTCCGGAGGAAACAATCGTTGGAGAAGGATGTCATGCTGGGTAGGGTGGAGGGTCAGAGAAAAAGAGGAAGACCTCCAACGAGATGGATCGGCCAGGTGGCATCATTGATGGACTCGGGGGTGGCAGCGGTGGTGAGGTTGGCCCAGGATCGAGCATTGTTTCGTTCTGCTGTGCTATGAGTCGGTTCCGACTCGATGGCACCTGACAACAACAACAGAGATGAAACAGCATGCTCAAATCACTGGATATTTTGACAGAAATAACATGTACATTCTATGTTTGTTTGCCAACAGTACCATACTCCTTTGAGATGTTGTCTTCATAAGTTCATGAAGGTATTTATGTTTTTACATGTTGCTGTACCCAGCACTAACAGTATATAGGAAGAAAGCAAAAGGTCATTGAAGAAGAAATGAATGAAAAGATGTCAGAAGAGACTCTGAAACTTGCTCTCCAGCATACTGATGCTAAAGCAAATGGAAGAAATGAGGAGGTAAAAGACCTGAACAGAAAAATTTCAAAGGGTAGCTCAAGAAGTCAAGTATTGTAATAAAATGTGTGGAAAGAGCTGGAGTTTGAAAAACAAAGAGAAGAACATGCTCAAGTTGAAAGAGCTGAAGAAGAAATTTGAGCCACAACTTGTAATACTGAAGGATTCTATGGCTCTGTGACCTAATGCACTGGACTGCAAGGTTGGTTTGAACTGCAAGGTCAGTGGTTCAAGCTCACCAACCACTCCTCAGAAACCCTATCCAGGGTCGCTGTGAGTTGGAAATGATGCCATGGAACTGAACAACAACAACAATGGGCAAAATATTGAATGATGCAGAAAGCATCAAAAGAAGATGGAAGAAATATACAGTCACTGTACCAAAAAGAAATGGTTGATCTTCCACCATTTCAAGAGATAGCTTATAATCAAGAGCCAGTGGTACTGAAGGAAGAAGTCTAAGTTGCACTGAAGGCAATGGTGAAAAACAAGGTTCTAGGAATTGACAGAATACAAATAGAAATCATTCAACAAACTGATGCAGCGCTAGAGGCACTCACTCATCTACTGACACAATGCCAGCAGCAGCGGGCTCATGCATGACAACTGCGAGGATGGCGCAGGGCCAGTTAGTGTCTTTCATTCTCTCGTGCATTGGGTATAGTTGGAACTGACAAAACGGCACCTAACAACACTAATAGCATACCCAACAGGGGAGCTTGTTGGCCCTGCAGTATAAGTGTTTGATTAAAAACTGTAAGGTCAAGGGTTTGTGTCTATCACCAGTTGCTCTGTGGGAGAAAGACAGGCTTTCTGCTCCTGCAAATAAACAAACTCGGAAGCTGGTTTGTTTTGAGTAGGCACCAATGGGACTGCACATAACAACAACATACCCAATCAGTGAATGGTGCGGTTGAAATTCACACAAAGGGCACACAGTGTTCTTCTCCTTTACAGTGGACAATTACGTTAAGGTTATTTAGACAGCTCCTGAATTTCCTTTGTGAAAACATAATTTAAGTGACTCTACTTTGGCACATTTTTGCCTGTATAGAAGAACTAGAAGTAAAGCTGAAATGCAACTCTTGATTAAGAGCAAGTGCTGTCCACATTTATTCATTTTGCTTGGAAATACACCTCGGCTGGTTACATAGATGGGTTGGTAGTGAGTGAGCAAGGATCGGAGAGAATTTGAGATTGACAAGTTCCACATTCTTACCTGATCTTAACTACTATGAAAATATCAGGTCAGTTCGATAACTATTACAATGGTTCAAAAGCTGTAGAGAAGACCAGTCTTATTATTACCCTACTCAGTAAATGACGCAGTGAATTTCTCATTAGAATATGTTATTCACATGCTGAATAAATGCAATTGTGCAACCACGTCTTCAGAATCTCTCTCATTCTGGAAATTCATTCATCCCAGGAAGAGCCAAAATCTCCAGTTGGAGACTGTTCTGCACTGTCAGTGAGGGTTCTGGGAAGGCTGTGTACCATGTCCCAGAATGTTGTTGCTGTTAGGAGCTGTCGACTCTGTTCCTACCCATAGAGACCCTGTATAGGGTTCCCAAGGAATGGATGGTGAGCTTGAACCACCAACCTTGCAGTTCAAACCAACTCTGCAATCCAGTGCATTAAGCCACAGTGCCACCCCAAGACTTCTTATCCAGTTTGTTGTTGTTAAGTGCCATCGAGTCAGTCCAGACCCATAGCAACCCTGGATAGGGTTTCCAAGGAGCGGTTGGTGAGCTTGAACCACAAACCTTGCAGTTCAAACAGCTTTGCAGTCTGGCGCATTAATCCATAGCGCCATACCAGGACTCCCTTATCCAGATGGAGGCAAAATTCTTCATGTAGTATTGCAAAACATTATAAGCATAAGAAAAATATCAAGCTTGTTTGTTAAACATCTGTGTTCTTTAAAAGAGAATCATCTTTTACACCACAAAATACTGTGAAATTAAGAACATTTTTAAGGTAAAACTTATCTGTGTACCACAAACAGAACTGTCACTGTAAACTAGATTTATGAGTGTTTTACTGATATTCACACTTATTTGCCAGAAAAACTCTTGTCCTCCTGAAGATAAAATAAACTCTAAGGCATCTCTGTCCACCCTGAAGAGTAGAACCAATAGTCATTCCATTGCTTACTCTGCAAATTAGTTGTTGTTGTTAAGTGCTAGCAGGGCAGTCTGATTCATAGTGACCCTGTATAGGGTTTCCGAGGAGCAGCTGCTGAGTTTGAACTGCCAACCTTGTGGTTCAAACTGATCTTCCAATCGAGTGCTTATCCTACAGCACCACATTAGGAGTAAAGCGTATGAATTACGGCTCTGAAATATAGAAGCTAGGTGTTTCAGAGAACCCAGGATAAAGGTAAACACATATCCAATGGCAACCTTTCTGGGACCGGCATCATTTTCCTACTTATTATGGGTCCACATTAGACTCTATGATCACCCACCTCTATGTAGAGGCACCGTTTCCTAGTCTAATCCCTGTGAATTCCAATCCTAAACTCTGACCCTTTCATAGAGAGGTCATTGGTTAGATCCCATCAGCCCCTCCGCAGGAGGATGAAGTGGACCATCTGTTTCCATACAAATACAGCCTTGGACACCCTTTGCTGGGGGAAGTGTCCACTCTGTCCTATAGAGTTGTTATATGGGTCAGACTCGATTCAATGGCAATGGATTTGGTTTGATTTAGTCTCCTATGACTGATCACAGGTCACAGGTAGACACATCGATACCTGTATGTAGTCCACAAACAACTACTTCTGTGATATACTGGGTAGGTAGGTGTTGAGGACCCCTGGTAGTACAATGTTGTTAAGTGCTCAGCTGCAGTTGGAACTCAGCAGGTGCTCTGTGGAAGGAAGATGTAGCCATCTGCTTACCTAAAGACTTCAACCTTGGAAACCCTATGGGGGCTTTCTACCTTGTCCTATTGGGTCACAATGAGTTGAAATCTATTTGCCAGCCGTGGGTTTGTGGCTGAGTAGGTATTAGAGGGCGTCCTGGTATGACACTGCAGGTTAATGGGTTGGACTGCAAGGTCATTTGAACTGCAAAGTTGGTGGTTCAAGCTTACCAGCTGCTCCTTGGAAACTCTATACAGGGTTTCTATGCGACGGCACTTTAACAACAACAGGCATTAGAGAGGTGAAAAGGGTCAGTAACAAGGTGAGCACTTGGGATGGGGCGGGGGTAGAGATGGGTGCTGACATGAATGAGGCAAACTCACAGCATGCATTACTGCCAAAGAGGGACCTTACCCGGGCCTTCTGTTCCATTTCTAGCATCAATCTTTCGTGTTGCTCAGCTATGGCCAGTGTTGCAGAATGGACCTTCTGATAGATCATCTCTCCTTCCCTCGTTTGAAAGGTGAACAGTCCTTCTCCCGTGTCACACATTCTGTGAGAACAAAGACAAGGAGAGACAAGGGTATTCCTGTGTTCCACAGTGTCAATGCCTTCAAGCAGATGAGGGCATCTAGGTCAAAGAGACCCTGGTCCTGTTTCACCTGCCTCTTTGACCTTAGGAATCAAGGAAGCAGACGCACCTGGGAGCAAATAAACAAACAAATGCACGCCTGGCACACATCTTTCAGCAGCACTACATGAGCACAAAACTAAGGGTGTCAAGCATCCACGTGCATTTCGATGTTTTGAGATGAAGTGTTCAGTACGGTGTAAAGGAACAGTTAAAAGTGATTCTGGTTGCAGCTCTTATTAATATTTCAAGAATAAAATCAATCTAAGCAGAAAAAAATATCTTGAAAGATTTTCATATTTGTCATAAAAATCCATTCTCACTTATGAGTTGGTGGCTCTTGAAATGTAAAGAACTTCAGAAAACTCTGCACTTCCAAACTCATTGCAGTAGGAAGCCAGGAGAAGAATGTTTGTAATTGATGGGTTTGCATGTTCAGAATGAAGCTTTTTGCTTAAACTGAGCAAGCCATAAATAGAGCATGGTATAACCCAAGGAACATCGTGGCATAGAGGACACTCTTCGGTGAATAGAAGATATTTGTTTTAAATCTCAACTCTGCCACTTAACAGCAGTGTCACCTTGGGCAAGTGGCTCTACCCACCAGCGCCTCCTTTCAAATTCCCAAAACAGGAATAGAAATGGTACTCACCATACAAGAGCCTTATGAAAGTTAAACGAGTTGAAACACAACATATTTACAGTGGCGCTTAGCATAGAATAAGTGCCCAAACCATGTGATTACTAATGTCAACACAGAACAAATTTGGGACTAATCTAAATATCCACCGTAGAGAAATGTTTGGATTAATGATAGTATTTTCATCTGAAGGTCTATTATAGGACTATTACTGTATCATTTATGAGAGCATATTATAAGAATGAAAACTCTTATGCAATATAAGGGGGGAATCAAATACAAATTCTTTTTCTATTATATACTTACAATTACATTTAAGACACATTTCTTTATTGGAATGAAGCCATTAAAATGTTGTTAGCTACTAAGGTTTTGCTGGTGTTGTTAAGGGTCATCTAATCAGTTCTTACTCACAGTGACCCTTTGATGGTGTTTCCTAGGAGTAGTTGGTAGGTTTGAACTGCTGATCTTGTGGTTATCAGTCTAGTACTTACCCTAAAGTGCCACGCCAAGGCTCCAATGTGATTACAGTGGTGGTGGTGTCGGATCATGGAGTCGGTTCTGACTCATAGTGACCCTGTATAGGGTTTCTAAGCTGTAAAGTTTACAGAAGCAGAGAGCTTCCATTTTTCTCCCGAGGGGTGACTGGTAGATTCGAACTGCTGATCTTGTGGCTTGCAGCCAAATTTGTAATCCACTACACTCCCGGAGTTCCTAATAGAATTATGTTGTCGTTGTTGTTAAGTGTCTTTGAGTTGGTTCCGAGTCGTAGCGACCCTGTAGAGGATTCCCATGGAGCACCTGGTGAGTTTGAAGCACCGACCTTGTGGTTCAAACCAACCTTGTGGGCCAGAGCTTTAGCCCACAGCACCATACCAGGACATTTTATTAATGCAGATTTATTCTAAAATGAAAAACGTTTTTAATGAGTGCTTTAGAAATAACTAGAAGACCTTCAGGAAGACCAACACACTGTCAGTAGGATGTGAATCCTCAGGAGCTCTGTGTTGTTGGTTTTCACGTTATAACATCAGAAGACTCGCCCAGGATGCGCGTGAGATCACACTCTTTCTGCAGGCACCAAAAAGACTTTGGAAGCTTCATCATTCTCCAGAGTTTTCCTGAGGGAAGCAATGACTCCAGAGGCTTCAGACATTACAGAGACTGTGAAAGAGGTCCCATGGGGCCCCACAGAACGAGCACTTGGCTTCTGCAAAAGATCTTCATAAAATCCACACAGCGTGAAATGGAAAATCTGGGGTGGGGGTGGGGGGGATGAAGAATTTCCACAAAGTGAAACAAATGAGTTCTCTGTGTTGATTCCAAGGATAAAGAAATCCAACTGCAGCCATGCTGTAGGATAAGCACTGAACTGCTAACTACAAGGCTGTTGATTCAAACCAACTAGCTGATCGTTGGAAACTTGGAAATGCTATGCAGAGTTGTTATGAGTAGGAATCAACTTGAAGGCACTTAACAACAACAATACCCACAACCATAGCAGCAGCAGCACCTCCACAGAGAAGCAGTGCACGAGGTTCGGCATCTGGAATGTACTGTGGGTTAGATTTTGTGAATGATATAGTGAAGGTGGGACCGCTGCTGCATCCTTGGTCCTGGAGACTCCAGAAGGAAACCAAACTAGAGTCCATATTTGTGCTGTATGTTGTGATACATGAAACTGAAAATCAGAAAGGAAGAAATATAGTAAAGGGGCAAACACGCAAAAGAATCCTTAACTGAGGAAGAGCTGAACAGAGTGGCCAGTTAAACATGAATATTTGTAGGGTAGTTGTTATGAATCGGGCTGCTATCCTCAAGGTCGGCAGTTCGAAACTACCAGCGGTTCCACGGGAGCAAGATGAGGTGTTCTACACCCATAAAGATGTACAGCCTCAGAAACCCTGTGCAGGGTCACTATGAGTTGGAACCAACTCCACAGTACTTAACAACAACAACAACAAGTGTCTCCAACAGGCATGTTCTAAAATTGTATTTGATTTGTGAAAAAGGCAAAAATATGAGCAATGTAGATTTGCCTGGCTTCAAACAAGCATTGCATTGCTGCGAATAAAAAGGTAGAGATGTTATTTCCGTTTAACATTTAACAGAGTGCTTTTGTTAACATTCAATAAACATGTGAGAGCCAGAATATGTTTAAGGCAGAATCCTGTCAGAAAAGGAAAATGCAAATATTTACCTCAAATCAAGAGTGGTATTAAAAAGTGGCTAAGACTGCCATCTGCCAAAGGTGAAAACTTGGAAAAACATGGCAGTCTTTTGAGTCCCAGCTCTTGTAGGCTTCAGCATACAGCTGACCTCAGTGCTGGGGTCAGAGCACTGACCCCACCCCCAACACTGTCCAAAGCAGAGTCTCACTTTGATTCCCCCCCAGACTCATCTAACAAGTGGAAGTGGGCCACCGTAAAGATCTTCATCCTTGTTGTCTTCAGTTGAGGGGGCTGAGGAGGAGGGAATAAAGGAGGGATGGTTTTTTTTTTTAATGTTTTATTGTGAATTATGTGATAGTTTACATGGGAGAACATTGGTTTTACATTCATTCTATCTTATATCGTCTCATTGCCATGGTTACAATCCCCTCCATGCAATCCTTCCCCTGTGCCCCCAGGTCTTCAGCACACAATCACTCTTCCTCTCTGGAGCTAAAGTCTCCAGATGCTCCATTGCTCCACGTCATCATCTTTGGCTTAAAGGAGGGCTGGTTTTGCTGTGAGTTCGTTTCCAGATGGGAAGGATGACTAAGTGTCCATAGTCTTCATGTGACCAGTAAAGCCTGATCTTTCTTATTGAAAACAATCCTGGATCAATGGATTCACACAATTCCAACTTGTATTGCTCGTGGGTCAACAGTGTTTGAGCAAAATTAGTATTTCTGTTTATCTAACAATCGCTAAATGCTTTTTTAGGTGTGCAGAATAGTTTATGTCACGTACAAATTCTAAGAGGTAGGGAGGACAGGTGACTGTATTCCTGTTATTATTTTATTAATTATGATGTAATAAACATTGTAACAGTACAGGATTCCACAGTCCTGGGCTGAAATTGACAACCTGTCACATCCATTTATCAAGTGCTTACAGTCTCCGATCTAGAGAAGCAGCATTTTACCTTTCTTGTTGTTGTTGTTGTAAAGTGCTGTCAAGTGGGTTCTGACCCATAGTGAACCCAGTATAGGGTATCTGAGAAGTGACTGGTTAGCTTGAACTGTCAACCTTGTGGTTCAAACCAACTTAGCAGCCTAGTGCATTAACCTTAGCAGCTATGAAAAGACTGAAGTTTCACCAAGAGCTCTGGTGAGGCAGAGTGTGTTGAGTGGTAAGAAACCATAGGCCAGATATGAGCAATCAAAATAAAGAGCAGCACAGAAGTCTGATTAGATAAAAGATAAAGTCAGCACCAGGAATCAGTGAAGGAAAGCTGGGCTCTTCAACAAAGAGCTATTTGGAAACATTTGCATACACATCTCTGTCTTCAATGCCAAAGAAAGCAAAAGGTTAAAAAAAAAAAAAAAAAGGCACTAAAGAAAACACTAATTCCTATATAAACTTCAACTTAGAAAGGGGGTTTCAAACTAGGGTGCAAGACCAACGGTGATAAAATATCAGTGAATGTGTCTGTGTAAAAATACTTTAAAACAGTAAGGAAAATCAATAAATGTGTCTGTGTAAAACTACTTTAAAACAGTTGTTGTTATGTGCCGTGGAGTTGGTTCCGACTCATAGTGACCCTGTACAGAGTTTCCAAGGCTGTAAATCTTTACGGGAGCAGAAAGCCTCATCTTTCTCCTGCGGAACAGCTGGTAGTCTCAAACGGCTGACCTGATTCGTAACCACTATACAATAAATGTGTCTGTGTAAAACTACTTTAAAACAGTAAGGAAGGAGGGATACAGTGTCAACAGGTAGATCAAAACTAGAAAACCGATTTGAAACTCACAATGCTGGAAACATCTCATCTATAGAATAAGTACAATATTAGTTGTTTATTTCATAGGATTGTTTGAGGATAAAAATGAGTTCATATTTGCAAATCATAGAAAAGTGCCTATAACATTCTAATTTATTAAAAACTACAATTATTACTGTTAACAGAGATGGAACAGATCTCTAAATGAAACTAGATAAAAATGTGTCATTGTTGTAAAATATGTTTTTGTGAGAAGACTTAGGAGCATATTTGATTGTTTTTTAAAATCCCTGGTACAACACAAGAAACAACTAATAGTTATTACGTATTGGTTGTTGTTGTTGTTGTTAAGTGCCGTCGAGTTGGTTCCTACCCATAGCGACTCTGAACAGGGTTTCCGAGGCTGTAAATCTTCATGGGAGCAGAAAGCCTCATCTTTCTCCCGCAGAGCAGCTGGTAGTTTCAAACTGCTAACCTTGCGGTTCACAGCCTGATTCGTAACCACTACGCTACCAGAGCTCCTTATTACGTATTGGTGGGTGAGGTTAAAACAGATTTAAAAAACCCCAAATCTCCTGCCATGAAGTCAATTCTGACTCATAGTGATACTCTATAGGGTTACTGAGGCTATAAATCTTTATGGGAGCAGAAAACCTCAGCTCTCTTCAGCAGAGGGGCTGGTGGATTCAAACTGCTGACTGTATGATTCTAATAGCAAAACAAGAAAAAACTGGCAAACCACATGACTTAGTCTGGTTAATAATTTGAAAATGAAACTTTTACTTTATATTAAAAAGACAGACATGTTGAAAGAAAAGAATGAATGGGACAAACATACTGAAGGGAAAATAGTTGAACTGACATTACTTCATAGAACACTAAAAAAAAAAAAAAAAAAAAAAGCGTTAGCGCAAAACCCAAGTCTCCTTTTGTAAAGTAAAAAAAAAAAACAAAAACTCAAGAGACATAATAAAAGCTAGAGACCCTGACTGGGAAAGGCAGGGACTCTCTTGTTAACTTGCATTCACCTTTTATGTTGAATATTTTTGTTATTGTGTTAATACATTAAATTGCCTTTTGCCATATTGTTCAATCAGTGGTCAATTGTTGATTTTTCTTTTTAAAGTTTTTATTGTGAATTGAGTGAAAATTTACAGAGCAGATCATCAGTTTCACATTCAACAAAGCATATTCTTTGTTTCATTACAATGATGATAATCCCCTCCATGTACCATCAGTTAACAGTATTTCTTTTTTCTAACTGTTCATTTTTTTATGCAACCCTTTTTCTCTGGTCACACTTAGCCACAGTCCTGAGTTTAATACCACTTTGCAGATGTGACAGTCTGCTTCTGTGAAGATTTACACTCACTGTCTTACAAACCCTGTGGGGCAGTTCTACTCAGTTCTATAGGATCTCTATGAATTGGAACCAACTCATGGTGTGTCTTCAGAATTCAAGGAGTCCTGGTAGATCAGCAGTTAAGAGTTCACTTGCTAACCAAAAGGTTGCCAGTTTAAGTCTGCTGCCGGTGAAAGATGGGGCAATCTGCTCCTGTCAAGATCGGAAACCCTCTGGGGCAGTTCGTCTCTGTCCTGTAGGGTCGCTGTGAGTCAGAATGGACTCAATGGCAATAGATTTGGGGTTTTGTTTCAATTTATTTGAATTTGAATTCAGTAAGCATCAGTTAAAGGTCCTGGTGTTGAAGGATCTGGTATTAGTGCCTCTTGTACCTGCCGGCCGTTTTACCCCTTCCTGTCCATTAAGCTGAAGCTGTCACTTGGGCTGCCTGCTTTGCCGGACAAAAACTGTAGAAGTAACCATTCCTTGGGAAATAGATGGCTAATAGGGAGAAACAGAAAATCAATAATCGGATGAGCTTTTTCACCCGGTTCTCCATCTACTTTCCAATAAAGGCAATAGCATTTCTCCATTTGCTGATGCTATTGTTACATAAGAAAAGAAGTCAAAGGAAATGACACTGACTAAAGCATGTGCTTACTGCCCTCACCAAGAGAATGAGGAGGTGCCATGTAGGGAAGCTGACTTCTGAGAATGTCTTTCCCTTTTCATGTTGGAATGGATTTTCCATTATTCCCTCTGGCACACCTTTCCCCTTCACCTCCAAAGAGTGTTGCCAGATTCCTACGCCACATCAAGTCATGTAACAGAGCAAAGCCAAGAGATGCTGCCATTGAACGTCCTCAAAAAAACAGATGAAGTACAAGTCTGACATATGAAGAAATTAGGATTTACCCTGTTCTTAGCCATTTTTGAGTCTTGATTTTATTTTTAAAAATAGCAGGTTTGGCCTCATGGTTAAGGTCTCATATACAAAAGAAGTTCATAACTTAGCTTTGGCTTTTCATTTAAGAGGTGATGGTAGTGGTTGTTAAGTTATCTTGAATTGGGTTTAGCTCATAGTGATGCTATATAGGGTTTTTGGTGCTATAAATCTTTGCAGAAGCAGAAAACCTCATCTTTCTCCTTGGGAGCAACTCATGGGCTCAAACCACCAATCTTGTGGTTCACAGTCCAGTGGTTATTGTACAGAGCCACCTTTTAAGTCATTGGTGTATTTTAAACTCAATTTATTGTTGTAATCTCAAAAACTAACTGGTACCTACACAACATGAATTCTCCCATGTTGTATTTCCTCAGCCTTGCCTTGGATCTTTTCTTGAGTCTTTCCTTTGCCTGCATAGGCACCTCCACATGAGGTAAGAAGGAGTGGATTTTACTGGAGACATCTTGTTTCAGAGTCCAGGAAACAGGAATATACCGGCCATCATTGGGACCAAGGAGTTCACAGCAGGGCTCATCCACACACATCTCAATCAAACATCAACTCAGTGTCTTACTTAATGAGCTTCAGTAGTCCCAGGACTGCTGTTGGACAGTCTCACCCTCTCTGCCTCCACATCTGCTGTCACCCCTACTGTCCACAGCCACTCTTTTTGTGAGGTGCATCTCTGCCTTCCATCTTATCCACCCTCTTCTACCCAATGAGATCTGCTATCCTGAGAGAGAGGAATGGAACCCTCTGCATTTACTGTCATTGATGCCCACAAAGATGATTTTAACAGAGGAATTTCTCCTCATTTTCATGCTTGCTTCATGATGGATATTGTTTGTGAGGCTCTCTTTCCGCTGAGACTCACTTGGGCTTTCTTCAAGTCTGCTGGTGGTGAGAGTGAAAAATGCTGCCCATGTGATCCAAGAAACCATTCTCTTCACTTAGAGCCATATGCGCAGCCAGACCTGGAAGAGTGTGGCAGGAAGAGAAGGCTACTAGAATAATGGAGTCCTGGTGTGGAGTTATAGGATAAGTACTGGACTACTAACAGCAAGGTAGTCGGTTCAAACCCACCAGCCACTCCATGGTGAAAAGATCAGGCTGTCTGCTCCCAGGAATGTGTACAGTCTCAGAAACCCTATACAGGGTTACTAGGAATCATAATCCACAGAAAGGCAGTGGTTGGGGAACGTTGTTATGACAAAAGAAATATGGAATCTGTATTCTGCTTCTGAAATTCCAAATAAGATTTTGAGTTTGTAGTGAGGCAGGCTGTTCCGTATTGTCAAGGGTCAGGTTTAGATGACTAAGCAGCAGAGAGAACTTGGGTGACTTCCGCGTTCCCTCTGGGTGGGGGTGACTTTGGAGTAGAGAAGGACAAGAAGGGACAGAACGCACGGAGTGAGCTGGATCCCACTGTCCTTTGTTGTTGTTGTTGTTAAGTGCCGTCGAGTCGGTTCCGACCCATAGCTACCCTGTATAGGGTTTCTGAGGGTGTAAATCTTTACGGGAGTAGAAAGCCTTATCTTTCTCCCGCAGAGCAGCTGGTAGTTTCGAACCGCTGACCTTAAGGTTCGCAGCCCGATTCATAACCACTACGCTACCAGAGCTCCTTATCTGGGCTTATATTCTGAAAAACACAGGCGGTGGAATAAGTTTGTGTCTGGATAGGTGAGCTGATGCTTGTGCCATATAGTCTTGTATTCGAATACACAGCCGGAGAACAGAAGGGTGAGGGGACACGGAGACTGAAGAAGAGAGTCAGGATTCGATCTTCTAGCAGAGACCACCAGCATATTCTTCCCAACAGTCTGGTGGGCACAGGCACATGTTGGCAGCCCAGCTCCAATGGTGTTTGGACCTAGCACCCTTTACTCCATAACATAACGTAAAACTCTGTTCAAACACCCAGCTACAGAGAACTGGAAAAGGGAAGCAGACCAGTCTAACACCAAGATGAGGCATCAGGAAAGGACAAGTCACAATGGCACGGCCAAATTGCCTGCTCCTCACTGACAGGGTGTTCATGAGAATTATCAGAGAGAAAAGGGAAAAGTGTCTGTTTTATTTGCCCAACTAAATTGTGTTAAATTCTTAAAAAAATTGTACTTGGTGAAAATATACAGATCAAAACATGCAACCAGCCACTCCTTCATGCACAGTTCAGTGGCATTGGTTGCATTCTTCACATTGTGTCATGGGTTAAATTCTTGAGTATTTAACAGTTGTAACTATTCACAATTTCCTATAGTTAACACCCTCATTCCCTTGTCTATAAGAATTATGGGAAAAAGCCTTTATTTTCTGTGATCTCCCCTTTATATCCTTGTTGGGCCAGATCTATAGTCTGACGATGAATCGGTGCGAAAATATTTTTTCCTTAAATTTCTGCCAACATCTTTTCCCAGTTCCTCCACAAACAATACTGTCTCACCTCCATAACCACTTGAAGATTTGGAGCAAGATGAGTCTATCTTAGTTTGATTAGTATTAAAACTCAAGAGTTTATTATGGGCAAACAAAATAACTCACGGAAGGAGCCAATGCCAGATAAGTATTTTTAGAGGGTCAGTGCTGAGCTGGTATGCGCTGTAACAGGCTCTGATGATCTAGATTTCAGCCACTTCTGCAAAGAATCCAACATGAAGAAAGGGTTGCTAGGGGAATGGTGCACTTGAGCCCTAAAATCCCTTCTGCGATGAAACTCACATCTGGAATTAGGAGACTCTGCCATAGTGGTTGAAGAGCAATCTCTTGGTTGAGATTGATGCTTGGTAAGAAACTGAAGGAACCCTATGGGGTGTGAGAGCAGCAACTGCAGCAAATAAGCACACACACACACACACACAAAACCTACACACTACTTCCCCAACCCCCAAACCCAAGGTATGGGAAAGGTCAGTGAGTTAAATCAAATCTACAAGGAGTTGAGAATAGGATCACTCAAACAAGAACATTTTTCATTGAACAAGTTAGCAATATTCTGGGAACAGGAAAGGTCATAGGATCCAGAAAAGAGGGACTGAAGATCAGAATAAGCTCAGGAAGTGGTGCCAAGCATTTCGAATGTAGGAGGTATTCTCAG